TAATTGAGCTCCTCCAAGAAGAAATGCATAGAGTGAATCAAGTGACGAAGAGATCTCCTCCGGGCGATTTTTATCGCCCTTGGCACAAATTAGCAAAGGCGATTGCATTTCGAGAAGGAGATCAAACGAACATATTCCTTATTGAGAGTATATGTCACACTAAGCATCGTTCTTCTCTGCTTGGCCGCTCCCTTCCAGAAAGCTTCTTCATTTTTTGATGATGAATCACAGATCACGTTTGCCAACTGGCTTTAAATTATACGCAATCACGCAGAAAAATCCTCGTCTTCGCGTGTACTATTTGATATTCTCTTTGTTCTATGCCTAAAATTAAAATGCGTCATTATTGTACAAACAAGGACGAAGAACGATTAAAAGAGGAAAAAAGAAATTCTTGCACCTTTTGTATTTTAATTTAAATCGTTCACATTCTTGTTCGAGCGTCGTAGTGTAATACAGAAAGAAAAACGATTTTAATTTCGCACTTTAACGCACCCAGGACAACACATTTAACACATTCTTGGTTTCTTTTTATCCATCCATTTGCTTCACACGTTTAAGAGAGAGAGAGAGAAAAAGAGCCATTCAATATCATGGCAGACATTCAAGTCGTTCCACGTACGGGTCGTTTTTTGTAAATTGTATCGTTCGACAAACGAGTTTGTCATTCATTCTTTCATTCGATTCGTTTCTTCTTATTCTTCCTTTTTTTATCTTCCTTAAGAATATTTCGCATATAGCAGTTCGTATACACAGAAAAAGTCGAAGGAAATTCGAAATAGAATATGTCTGTCGAAATTCGTGACCATACATACATCATTCTCGATGACGTATCCTATTCGTTATTTCGTTATGTACATAGGCACCTAATTGTCAAGAGTTTCAACTATGAACTCGGATCTCGTGATTTTCGCATAATAATTCGGATCACCGATTTCGACTGGCCTCGATTTCGTAATCCATTGACTTACTAATAATAGTAATTTCGAATCCAAAAACCGTAGAAAACGCGCCGATAAATTATAAACGATTGTGAATAACATTGAACATGAATTTTTGCGACGTTTCTCACAGAGAAACGCAATACTGATCGTCGTAAATCGTTTTTTGCAAAATCGCATGTAATAACGAGATCACGAGTGTTTTGCACAGCTGACGCATCGGCCACAACATCAATCGAACAAATATTTCGTAAGAACGCGACGCAAATGATTGCGATTTCAAGGCACTTGTTTAAGACGTTACAATCGCGCAGGTAAATTAACGCTCTTAACCATTTGTGCTGATAATTCAATACCCGAGTTAATACCTAAGATCTTTCATAATTCACTACGGAGTTGTACAAAATGTTAGAATACATATATACAATGCCCAAGATGTACATGGACAAGATACGATCGATTGGTATCACTGGTTTCACTATGACTTCCAATTTTGGCATACAAATATAATCAAATGAGATGCTCGCATTTAAAATTAAGTATCAATGTGCATGACGTTCCAACACAAATGGTTAATTAGACTTAAAATTATTAGAGGATTGTTAACGTTGCATAAGTTACTATACAAACTAGGTACCGAAAAAGAATCTATAATATTAAATAATATTATAGCACTTCATGGTACTTCAATATTCTTCCTTGTTAATCGTTAGGTCCTCTAATTAATTTAAGCGAGATAACTGTTTAAAAAAAAAAAACAACAACAACAACAACATTCAAAAGCTATAGCACCATTCCCAATATAAATTAATGTCTTCATGATAGTCAGACGCGTAAAATCAAGACTCCAAATTGTCACCTTCAAACAATTTCTTACTTCCTGCATTCTCTTGCTCTCATTGACAGCAATCGTTCTATTCGCATGGTCCATGAAGTTTGTGTGTGTTCAAGTACAAATAACTCTGTCAACGAGCTCACACACACGTTCACAAGTCTACGCGTATCTAGACAAAAAGCCAACAAACTGACAGAAAGATCGAGACGGTGGAAATATCATTTCGAAGTCGATCCAGGATAATAATAAACGACTGCTGGTGCTGGGAGTTGCCAATGCGCCGCGTGAAGTTCGATCAATTGTAAAAGGGTCTTCCGGACTGAAGGTAGTATTCTTTCTTCCGCGAGGAAAGCGTCTCTTAAGTTTTTAAGCAACTGTTGTAACTGGGCTGGTAATTCAGTGTCGAGATCTTTGCCAATGCAGGTTAAGATGAAGAACAGGCAGTCAGTCTTTAACATGAAAAATGAAAAGAATTACTTTTCCAACATTTTACTTGGAATACCTATGTTAATATGACTACATATCAGATCATTTTTGTAGACCTGACTTATTAAAAATAGAATATATTTAATTATGTAGACTACAAGAATGCAAAAGTAACTTCAAAAGAAATGGCAATTTAACTTTAAAAGAAACTGTAATAATTCCATTTCAAGAATTTTTCAATTGTAGAACTAATAATTTTCATACATTTAAAATCATGACTAACTATGTATGTAGTTAGTTGCTGAGAGAGTACATTATATCACGTGTAAATCATTCTGAGTATAATATATGATGTTTCAAGAAAACTACGTAAAATTAGAGTTTCATGTAAAAAGGCAACTTAATATGTTGAATTTACCTCAGCCAAGGAATTTACAATCGGAGGCTGTAAGCAATCTTGGCAACACTTCCAAAGCAGCGTGAGAAGAACACGTCCGGGAGGAACACCCTCCTGTTGTGTCTTCAACTGAAGCTGCCTCCGTTTTAACTGTAACCGAAATCATGCATCATATGAATAGATAGATATCTACTTACGTCAATTATTCTGATACAACAAAAAATAATTTGCTTTAACATAGGTAACATTTGCTTTAACATAGGTAACAGGCAGTACGATCGATTGCTTAAAAATCACTTAAAAATCAAGTATGATCATTCACAGACTTTCACAGACTTTCACAGACTATTTTACTAGATAAAGAGAATTAGTTTTACCTGGCAATACATTTCGTTCAAAAACGTCATAAAGGCGGAGTAACGATAGTTGGATCCATCGTAGAGCATCTTGATTCGGTCTTGATACCATTGTTGACAGATGTTTAATAAAGATTCCAAGAAAGTTTCTTTTGTTTCTTTCTGTATTAAAAAAAAAATATTTTCTCACGACATTGAAATTTTTTGAAGTTTTAATTAATACTAGAACCATCAGAATGGTCAAAATGACCAATTAATAATTTTTATAATTTAATTTGTAAATTATATGAAGAAAACTTGTTTGAATAAATACAAGTATGAATAAATACAAGTATTGCTAACAATCTATCTGAAATTATGTTTTGTTTATACATTTTAAATATACTTAGAATACTTGTGACAGTTTTACGAATAGAACTTTTGTTCCCCAACACAATGATATTAATTTAAAAACAAATTCGTATTTGCATGATTGCTACTGCATTTTAATGTTAAATTATTATTCACTGCATAATTACCTCTATAACAGTGATGCAAATTTTCGCTGCTGGTTCAGCGTACTTTCTATTCTCGACGACCCTCTCCAGAATATGTCGCACGAGTTCCATTAAGGCTCGAGCATTTAATAGATTTGGATCTAAATAAAACGAGCGTTATGATTAAATAGTATCTAAATTTAATTAGATTAATCAACGTTTTTTTTCTTCTATTTCTTAAAATAGAAAATCAATGATTATTATTACCTTCTATAGCTCTCAAAAGCGTGTCCTGAATCACAGGTGGGAATTTGCCCAGTTCAGAAGCATCTGAAATATTCACTGCCTTCGCAGCCATCACGTCGGCTGCGTTCAAGCTTTTCGATCGCTTCAATCCATAAGTGGAGACAAAGGATAGCGACTTTGTGAGCCTAGGTTTCGCCGTGTTTGCTTTGACGTCGTTTTGATCCATATTGAAGTGAACCCTACTCGAGCCCTGTTTTACAAAAAATGTATTTAGTACGCGATACTTTCACGTTCATCCTACGCACGCTTACATTCCATTCTGCACAGCAGTTTTAAAACAGCTTCGATCATAATATAAAATAAAATGAGTATGAATAATACATTAATTGCACCTTTGGAGGTACTCGCGTGAAGACAGTGGGCGAGTGTACCAGTATGCCGATATATTAAAACCTGACTGCACTCTCTTTGTGCCCTTCCCGATCACGTGATTGGGAAGGTAAGTCATTTTTGGCCTGAATGCACCGTTAAGCACAGTCAGTCCCATAAAGTAATATTTACAATTACTTTATGGGCCTAACGGTACTGCCCATTTTTATGTTTATTGGCTCTGGTATCTAGTAAAAGAGGGCAAGGCCAGAGGGACGCGTTCCCTACACACCTTTTCCTATTAATCGATAATTAATGTAATTTTATAAACAGACAATTACGTGTAATATATTTCCACTTGACGCTGAAGTATCAAGCGGATGTGATTGTCGCAATGCAGATCCTGTCGAATGGTGACCGCTTTGATTGTGAGAGTGACGAGACGTTTGATGATGTTGTTGCTGAAGGGTATGTTGTATCTGTTGTTGCTGCTGGGCATAAAGATACCGATGCACATTGCCACTCGACTTACTGTGTTGCAAATAATACGGAGATCGCTCTGAAGCATTCGTCCGAGACCTGAATCAAGATCATTAAGTGCCGATTGCAAAACATTGAACTGAACTATCGTCTTTTTTTATCGAGCATTTGTAATAAGAGAGCATTTATCCACCTCTTGTCTATATTTCTGACGCTATATGGATTAATAGATTATCAAAATATTATTGCAACACAACTGACATAATCCTACATCCAATCTTTCACTTTGAACGCTAATCCGAATTTTAATCTGTAATTGTGCAAGACGCTTCGAAAAATGTATCTGGTTTTGAAATTACTTTCAATTCCTTTTACTTCTTCGTTAGAAAGGCATTTTGTTTAGAACATCTACATATTTCTCTTTTACCTTTTAGACAAAATATTAATAGCTAATAATGAGATGATAATTATTTATTATTTTCTTCGCACCAGGATAAAATTGATTTCTAATTAATCCGTTCATCTTCTGAAAATTTTTCCCGACAATAATTTCACTTACAAGAGTTTTGTGTTAGCTTTCTAGACATTCTTCGAGGCATTCTTAATACGTCGTGTCGACCTAGTCTCAACTATTCCATAAGTAGTTTATACTCACTTAGAAGGATGCGAATCGTTCTGCTTCATAGTGAACTCCTTGGCATGTACGTTTAATCGTGGATTAGTTGTGTTTGCCGTGGTACCTTCCGTTCTTCCTCCTAAAAATAATAATATCATCTTTTAGAAAAATTGTTCCATCATCTTAAAAGTAAAATCAAACTTGAAAGATAATATAATACAAAACAATGAACTATAAACCTGGAGGTCGATAAATTTCCAAAGAAGGTTTACTTTTTAACGTGATTACGTTATTATTGTTGTTGTTGTTGTTATTGTTACTGCTATTGTTATTATTATTATTATTATTATTTCCTTTCTGTGGAATCGCATCCCTCATCTGCAAAATTAAACAACAAATTAATTGTTTATATACATTAAGTACAACAGTATATCCTAAGTTAACTTCACTTATAATAGGACAGCCACTTTACATTAAAATTTTCCTAAATCTAACAAGACTATCATATATATGCATTGCTATATTGATGCATACTCTCTATAAAAATTAAATTAGAGGCTAAACTATAGTTTCCTTAAACTGTAAACAATTCATTCAAGCAATCTTTTACACAAAATTAATAAATGACTCAATTACAAAGTATCCTCGATAAGATTATTCTATTAAATTTCTATACGCTATATTTATTTATTTGTGGATAGCTTTTCCATGTAAATAATTATAATAAAATTGCAAGCAAAAAATTCTCTAAAAATTCTTCACGAATTCTTCCCATTTTCTAAAACGCACTAAAAATCAACGTTAAATTTCTACAACGTCAAATTTAAGAAACCAATTATTTCACAAAATCTCTTTATACTTGCGACAACCTAATCACCTCGTTTTTGCATACAGTTCCCAAATAAATAATTGCAATAAAATCGAAAAACAGAGAAACATGGTTTCTCCTCGAAAGTTAAGTAATCCCTCGAAACGCCTCAAAATATCGTCTATATATCACAAAAAACGATAGTTAGTGTACGAAGTAAAAAAAAAAAAAAGTAAACGTGCTGGTAACAAAGAGACCTCGATCGTGTGGTATCGTTTCGGTGGACGAAAAGACGTAGTACACCGAAACAAACAAGGGAGACTCACAGTGGAAAGCGTGTGAGAATCATCATCGTTTCCAAGGACGTTGAGAGCGCGTCGGATGGAAATCCTGGTCGCGGTAGGGTGGCAGTGATAACGGGAACTTGCGAACCGGCGGCAACACAAGCAGTAACTATAAGGCCGGTCTATCAATCGGCACGTGACATGCGAAAAATCACGCGGTTTTTCACGCGTTTTCTCGTCGATTTTTCTTCCAGCTTTTTCCGCGTTGTCGCTCGGTCGCGCGTTGATACAGTCGACTCTGATGACTGTCGACTAATAATAGACGGCACGGCCACGAGCGAGCGAGCGAGCAAAACGAACCAACGAATATACAGCCACACGATACCAGCTTACATACGTATTAAATGCGTGCTGCACCGCGCTAACAGTGGACTGAAATATCCGACGAGAGTCATCCTCGGCTTCGTGTCGACGAAACACGCTTTTAGGGTGGATCCGAAAATTGTCGAACGCGGATACGTTCACGGTTCTTCCCCGGTGATACCACTATTCTTACCGAGTGTGTTCTTTCATCTCTTCGAAACAGAGAATAGTGGAAGTCGTTCTAAAGAATATGAGTGAGCAGATTAATGAAAAAGATCAGTTGTCTGAGAATTTATTTGCATCCCCCATTCGTTAAACTTTATATTTTTATGCGCATGTTAGAAAGAGTTCACAACTTACTTTAATGCTCGTCGAACGATTGTCGAGTACGATAAAATATCAGTTATCTAGGCATCATCTATTTGGATTTTAGATTCGAGTTAGACTTTTACATTATATCTTGATGTGGATGTTAAAAAGAGTTATCATTTAATTTATATTGAAACTACTTACTGTGTTTAATATCTCATTTACGTTTGCGTTTTATGTAAATGTTTAAATGTTAAACAATTTAGTTATTGTTTTGAGAAAATGTTGGTATTGTGTTGAAGATGTGACATGATTGAAATAGTCGATATTATAAGAATTTAGGAAATTTCACGGTCGATATGTCGCAGTGAATCAAAAGTAGATCGAATGATACTTTCTTAGAGTCAGCTTATGCTCTGTTCACGCCAAGTAGAATTTTTTTCACTTAAATATCGTACTGTTTTCACGATTGTAATTAGGGCAAAATTTCTATATTTATAGATTATTCGATGATTGTAGAAATTTTCTTGAAAACCTGATTCCGCAATCTGAAAAACTTTTTCATTCTTTATTATTCATCAATTATTGTATATATAATTTAATGTGTAGTATTAAGTAATAGTAATGGAATAAAAGGGTAATGATCATAACGAATACAATTATACACATTACTGAAACCTATGATAATGGTACAATAAAATTGAACCATTTTTGAAAAATGAAATGACGAATAAGAAATATATTGTATCAATGAGATAATACATATAAGATGTATATTTCTTTCTATAAATTATATTCTTTTATTATATACATATATATATATATCAATTTATCAATAATCATAATTATCTTTTATTTTTTATTATATTTATTTTATATATAAATTAATATATTTATTTTATATATATTTATATATATTTATTTATCAATAATCATAATTATCTTTTATTATATATATATATATATTTCAATTTATTAATATTTCTAAATCTTTTAATAGCAACGCATTTTATTCTTTTCTGATGCTTGCAATACGATGAAATCGATATTACAATAAAAAAATTTTACAATCGAGAGTTAATCCAAATTGAATTAATTTTTTCAATTAAAAGTGAAATCGGAAACGTGCAACACATTTTGGCATCGGTTCTATTTCCGTTTGCGTCTGAAATATCTATGACTAACAGCAGTTAGTCCTGCAAATGTATTCACCATTCTTAGACAAACAACGAATACACTGGCTATCCTTCGTTTCATATTATCCGCCATATCTTCGTCTTGGTCCTTTTTCCATTAATTAACTTACCTTTGTCGCTTCTTCTTTCGTGTGGGACAAGCGTGCAACGCGTACCATCTTCGACGGCAATTATTTGATTATAACGGTTGAAGAGATCAACGAGCTTCTGCGCCAATTACACTATACGTTTGAAAGAATGCCTTGTCATTATACACGTTCTGTTACACCCAATCTCTGTGATACTATCGAAATTTGAAAAAAAAAGAGAAAAAATAATAAATATGAAATAATAAAACGACAAATGAGAATTTTATAATAAAAATCTAACTTTAGTAGTAAAAACCCACAATTGATGATCTACGTGAGCCAATAAAATTAACTACGTGTGAAAATTTCAAATTCCACATCTTCAAAATCCACAATTCAAGATACGTTACACTTTCAACGGAGACACGATATTTACTACCGAGCGTATATTCAAGAAAAATGGATAAAATAAACTTGAACGTTTTACTAACCTGTATTGTAACACATCGCAATTTGCAAGAAATAATTTCGGAATATTGAAGAATTCGTTTCGAGATGATCGTTCGTTTTCGGTTAGAATTTCGTTTTACCGGCGTGAAGGACCGGAAGTGAGCTGCGGCACTGACGTCGTTCTCGATGTTGGCACTCGATCAACCGATTCGAGACCGCGAACCTGTATTCAAATTATCGTGATGAATCATCGTTGTTTCCTTGCAATTGTACCATTACCCTAGCCACGATTTTTATTTATGACGTATATTTATTTATGACGAATATTTATTTATGACGTAATTAAAACAATCGAAATTTCAAATTTTACGCGCTACAGTTATAATACAATGTACGTGTAACAAAGACAGGTTATAACAAATAAGATAGGTTATAACAGATAATAAATATGTACAAAATAAAAAAAAAAAGGATATCAAATATTTTAATGTTGATTTAATGTATGTTTTAAATTTGTATATAACATGTACATAACATTTGTATATAAAAGGATTATCTTTCATTTATCAAAAAAATATTTTTTTTTTTTATTCCCAGTTGAACTTCTGCGCAATAAGCTGTTTCAATTTCTTTTCATTTGTGCCGAAATTCAATTCAGTTCTAAGTATACAAAGAAAATACAAACCTCCAAAATCAGGTAGTAGATGTTAACTCGGAGAGACGCTTCGTACAACACACCAAATGAAAACCTTTATTTTATTTAACACTTTATACACATAGATTCATGTATATATTTATAGGTATGTATATGTTTTCACAGTTTGACTTTGTTCAAAGAGATTTAGAATTTAGAATTTAAAAATCGTGTTTTACTTTCGTTTAAGATCGTATATCGTTACTACAAGTTACCAACGGATTCAATAATTACGTTTAACGACATCTTGAACATCTCATCGAGATCACTGAGACGCGACTTATTTTATTGATCGATTCTCGAGACCAACATCGATGCGAATACGTTCGATGGCTGGAGTTGCGGTGTACGTACACCATCGATCTTCAACGTGCGTTTGTTTGTTGCGTGTTCACGCCTTTCGAATCGTCATGGTTCGCCAAAAACGGAAGGACGAGCGTTCCGAGGCAATGCCATTTACGCGTGCACATGTTACGACGATTGAGTTGGATCATCTGCAATCCACAGGCTGTCCGTGAATCTTCAACCACGCACAGTCACACCCACGCAAATGACGCTAGTTCTCCATTCTAGTTGCATATTACCTATATGCAATACGCATTAGTATGACACACGTTGTGCGTAGTCTAAAGGTCTCGGACAAAATCAACTGATCACGGTTAATACCTGTCGTTAATAAATTAATAATCATAATTTTCTTATAGGATCAGCAGGCTACAAGTAGCTAGCAGTAATACGCATTCATTGAAATACAAGTTGAAAGATTATCAATCTGACTTATAATTTGGAAATTGAACTATGTAAGAATATAAAACTTTTAGGAGTTTGTGAGAATCATAACACATAATAGAACAGCCGTACAAAGTTTGCATATTGGCTTCAAAAGATTGAGTTAATTCGCACCATAATTTCCATAATGTGCTAGCAATAATTATAATAAAATTAATATTATATAATTATGAAATATTCAAAGTTTCCAAATATTAAAATCCTATTTTTCTTATCGAGAATAGAAATAGATTAATGTGGATGACAGAAGTATGTCACAAATCATTATATTTATTTGTAAATATCATCTAGAGGATTACAAACCATGGTAGCAATAAGTCAATTGAAGAATCTATATTTCTTTTAATTGGAAGCATTAAACCATTTATCACTTTATCTGGCCAATGGCTAGTGTTTCGTTTACACATCATTCGATATCCCCCCTTTTTTTTTCTTTATTCTTATTCCTTTTAAGCGCTTAACTAATATTATCTTGTGCCTCGTAGGTAACCATAACACGCTTATTACACGTTATTACTATTATTGTTACGTTGAAAACAATATTATGAAAATAAATCTTAAATTTTTGCTAAATTCGTTTCTATAATCGTTTGCAGTGGCTACGAAGAAACATAATGTACAAGATTTAAATAGAGCACTACTATGCTGCGGTAAACCGTACTGATTTAAGATATAAAAATTAATTACGGTATTCAGGCCGCTTAGATTTTCAATCAAATTAATGAATATCGAGCACCAAAATCGGCTGTCGCAAAGCACATTTTGTAGAATCTACCTACAAAGTTTCTTATTTTATATGAATAATGAAATGTATCATTATCATTTTGTTTAATTTTCTTTTTTTTCTTTTTTTTTGTAAAATACCTTAATATATTCCAAAATCTTGATCTTATATAATGTTCTTTGTTATCAAAAAACGCATAAAAAATTATAGTATATTGTATAGATATGACAATATACTGACGTCATTACTGACGTCATTGTGATTTTTTTATAAGTATCAAACGCTAATCTCTCACGACAGAACGATGTAACAAAACATCAACGTCGTTTACACATATTCTGATATTTTATATTACAGAAAAATCCAGAAACATTAAAGATGATGATCAGCGTTCGAGCAACTCTGTAGACAGATTCTCGTTTCAACATCGAAAATACATTAAATACAGAAAAAGTGGCTTATAAATTATTCTCTTTGAATACGCTTTTTTTTTGTAATACAATTGCGAATAATATAATCATATATATATACCGTGTATATTTATATATATTTATATATATTTATATATATAATATATTCATATGCGTTTGTTTTTGTGTATGCATAGTCGAAATGTAATATCGAATTTGCAGTGGGAATTCGTCTGACATTTCGACCATGTGTGTATATTTCCTGTAGTAAATATAGATAAAATTATAATGCCAGCTAGTATGGCCTGTGAACACTTGGGTAGTTTGAATTTCTCGGTGAACGGCCAACAAGTCACCCTAAACACTTATTCTTTACACTATTTTTTTTTTTTTGTTAAATCTTTACTATCATGTATCGTGTATACATCAAAACCAATATATTAATTTTCGGTAATATATAAATATTGACGTAACAAATAGATACTTAAATAAATTGCCATACAATGTCAGACTAAACAGCATACATGAGCATTAAATACGAAAAATATGTTTTTGGTTGTTATGGAAAGTTAGCATTTCGCAGTAACATTGTTACCATGGTAACTCGCTTTTATTTGTTTTCATTAATACATAAAATTACAACAAAAATTTCCTTTCCCCTCTTTTTTTTTCTAAGGCATTCAAATACCTAAATTAACAAGAACTTCTACAAATAATATTTATATGTTTTGAATACAAATTGCACTGTTTTCAACTCACACTTCTTTAGGAACTTTCAATTGTAAAACTGCAATTCCGTTGTAGTATTACGTAAACATTCTTTTCTATCACTATCATGCAAATACGTTATTGTTTACATTATTGCCATGGAAACGTTATTACTGCTGAAAATATTTTTGTAAATGAACAATCAGATATGAAATTTTGAGCGGCGGAGCGGTTGTGGCAGCTGTGAATCATGAGTCTTCGTTATTTAAGTCTATCTGTCTTTTATCTGTTCTATATATATATACTTTTCTTGAATTAATTACACTTAAGTATGTGTACACGCGCCATGTACGAACTTTTAAATTTACAAGTATTACAGGATGGTTGAACCTCAAACTTGTGTATTAACAGTATAATTTATGAATCTCTAAAAGTGCTGGAATTTTTTCAGTCTGTCGCACTTAGCATAAATGACGTATGTATGTATCTCTCTCTTTCTTTCTATACATATATTCTATATATATATATCTATATATGAATATCCAACCAACCTGCTTATTGTATGTACAAAAAACACAATAAGTAATTACGTATTAACGGGTCAATGAAACGTATGCAGTATTTTGACTATAATGTATGCGAAAAATGCATTTTGTTATATGTTCAGTATACAGTTAGCAACGACAAAATAAGTAAATAAAACTTTTTTTAATCATTTTAGGTTTCGAAACTTAAAATAATTAAGAAAAGTTTATATATATTTTATTATATGCTACCAAATAACTGCTGCATCGCTGCTATTAAAGCACAATCTTAATTAGTTTATTATAATTAGACCTTTATTATAATTAGATTTGATTAAAAAAAAAAATTAGCTAAATTTAACTGCTGAATATCCAATGAAGCACTGGATTATTAGACCTATCCTTTTGCTACTCCATCTATATTTTATAAAATCCCTCCCTGAGACACAAGGATTGGTCATATTCAACAGTTAGGCCGAAATGCTAAGCATTTTTCACTATAAAAAAAGTGGCAGTTAGCCTATTTCAATCATTTCTGTATCTTCCATGTTGCCATGCCCAACTCCATTATGTCTATAAATTGTCACAATCACGGTTATCGAATCGTAATACATGAATAAATATTTTTAATTGAATACATTACCAACATACTTGTATACTATCGTATGATAATGCAAATGCTTACCTATGACTTTGTACATGATTATTGTGTATATGAAAATGTGTTCCTCGAGGAGAAAAACCACGCATATTGCCTCTACGTGGACTTCTAGCATTTATTACTCGTGGTTGTGAATACATATCCTCTAGTATGCTAGGTGCCACATAAGTGAAACCCTAAAAATAATGAAAATTCATTGCTTAATAATAAAATATATGCAAAAAATAAATAATATGAAAAATATTTGAAAAACCTCACTTGAAATACTCTATTTGCAGATTCACTTAACGTATATTCTGCGGGAGAATCAATTGGTGCAGATGTTGTAAATTTTTTATCAAACTGTGATACATCATCTTCACTCGCCAATGTCGGTCGAAAAGGCGGTTCTAATTTTCGAGAAATTACATCGTTCCAATTGATATGCTTAAAAAATTGATGATTTTTTATTTGTTCTGCATCAGATGGACCAGATCCTAATCTTTGTGATACTTGTCTCTATAAATACAGAATTATATTTTATTATATAATTTACAACACAACAATTTTTAGGATTCAGAAAATTAACCTTCAACAACTTTCGGATGAGATCTCTAGAATCAGGAGTTAGATATTGTGGAAGATTTAGTTTTCCACGTAAAATCTTTTCAATAGTTTTCTTTCTATTATCAGATGTAAATGGAGGCTAAAAATTGAACATATAAATATGAAAAACTTTATTACACTGATTTACTTCAATATCTCTAATGACACTTACTGAACCCGTAAGCATATCGTACATTAAAGTTCCAAGACTCCACCAGTCTACTGCTTTACCATGTCCACTTCTTGTTAGAATTTCTGGAGCCCTTTTATTAAAATACAAATATTAGTATCACATGATCGTAAAATTTGATTTGTATTAACAATTGTAAAAAATTTCTTACATATATTCTATAGTGCCACAGAATGTGTGTGTAACAGTACCATCTTGTATATGTTCTTTACATAAACCAAAATCAGTCAATTTTATATGTCCCTCTGCATCTAACAAGATATTTTCTGGTTTTAAATCTCTGAAAATTTATCAACATAACAATTAATTTATAAAGATAATAATACATTAAATAATATCCTTAACGATTATGCTTATGATTAGAAAAATTAAAATACCTATAAATAATTCCCTGCAAATGAAGGTGTTGAAGAGCCAATATTATTTCTGACAGATAGAAGCTATAAAGACAAAATTTGTATATAGTTTTTCTTTAAAAATAAATTACAATTAAAGTGTAATTAGAGGGATGTTGCTGTTTCACATACCAAGCAGTTTCTTCAAGAAAAATGCCTTCATCATTCAAGTGTCTAAATAGTTCACCACCACACATATATTCCAAAATTAGATACAATTTTCCACCAGTTTGGAAAGCATACATAAGGTCTACGATGAAAGGATGCTGCCAATACAAGCATATACATATTTTAATGTTCTTTTTCTATGCTATGCTTTATTAAAAATACAACTACTACTTATCCATGAAAATAACTATGTAATAAATATTGATTAAATGCCATTTTTATTTCACATTATCATGTGAAATAATCTAATAAAAAGCATCAGACAGCAATTTACAAAAATCATCTACATTTTTTGATTAAATGTATCTTTTACATACCTTTACAGCTTCTAAAATGTTTCTCTCCGCTTTAGTATGTGCAGTATCTTTTTGGTTCCTTATAATTGAAGCTTTACGCAAGACCTATTTTTTAAATAAATGAGGCAAAAATAAAATTAACCTTGGTAATATGTATATATATATATATGTATGTATGTATGTATGTATATATGATGTATGTATGTATGTATGTATGTATGTAATATTAAACGAAAAATCAATATATGTAAACTATAAATGTTTTCAACTTTGAAAAAAGAAACAATTTATAAATAAGTTGTTATTTTATATTTAAATGCATAATATTACAAACTGCGATTATTTATACATTTATAAGTTTCTACATTTCTTTCTTTTAATAAAATTCATAAAAATCTAAAAATATTTATCCGTACTTGAACAAAATACATATATAAGATACAGATAAAAATTTCATGGAAAACAAAGGAAAACAAAAGAATTATATAAGTGAAAATAAAACGATGAAAATTTTTGTTCATGTCTAATGAGATCAATATGTTAATAAAAATATTTATTTCATACGTATCGCAAGACGTTGATAAAGTATCTAGCATATGAACAGGAAAGAAACAAATCCAAACTTTCCTACCTTCATCGCGAAGATTGTCCCGCTGTCATTACCCGTTATTTTACGAACTTGAAAGACCTTGCCATAACCACCCTTTCCAATAACTTTACAAAGTTCAAAATCCTGCGGGCCAGCTCTTTCTCGTCCGCGATTCACATTCTGTTCCGATATAGCTACCGTTTCGACACCTTCCGATCTAAGGGAATATAAAAAAAAAAAAAAGTTGTCACGAGAAAACATTTCAGGCGCAGGTACATAATGCACATACAATGAAATGTAAAGGGCAAGCTTACTTACTCGGTTATCTCATTCACATTTGGATTAGCATCGTACTCTTCCTGTGTGGAAACAAAAATGTATAGAATAACAGCGTTACGAAACGTGGAATGAAAATAACGATAAGAAAATCTGAAGTGCTCGTGTACAGATGGAGAATTACCTCGCCAATCTCGATCACATCATCGTCAGACTCGTCCCTGTTTACTATATCCGCATCGTGCAATTCGATATCAAATACTGCAGCCATTCTACGAGCGGCTAACTCAAATTCAGCGAGATTTCACGACTCTCGTAAAGGTGAATTACTTCTTTTGCAAGAGACAACGACAGTACAACAATATTGTTAGACGGTCAAAACTTGAATTACCACGAACAAGCTGCCCTGTCCAAGAGCATACCAAACACCCTCGCCTTACGTGCGCTCCAATTGGCTGTAAAACCTCGTCATCGTCATGTTATCAGAGTGGGAGGGTGTATGGTTTGACCAATCAGACTATCATGTTCAAATTTTCCTAGGAATTGACAACTACGGAATTCTACGCGCTATTGCCAAATCATTTCGACAGAATCTACCGCGGTTCATTTAAATATTGTTATGCTATTAATCATAAAAGTTAACAATGTACAACAGATTGTCGATGTTAAGCGTTATCAGTACAATAAATACACAGTATTTATAAGATTCAAATATTTATTGCATGAATATATTTATTGCAGAATGCAGTTACTTACGAATTTATTCAATACAAATAATATGTTATATTTTGAAATTTTATTAACTGTGTAATATGTGAGTTTGAGTGTCGTAATGACACTCGACTATGTGAGTTTATTACAATGTTTACAATTACAAATTTGACATCTTAAAATTACAAATTTCATATTTTATATATGTACAATACGATATATTCGAATATATATGTGTATTATCGTATATTTCATGTATATGTGTATGTATATACATGTATATACGACGATGCATAGGATACTGACATTGTTATTTATTGGAAAGATACTTCGTGAATTAATATCGATTTTATAAAACATATTTGTAAATCATATTTTAATTGAATAATATTCAAATCTAAGGTTAATTGTATATTGATTAGTATACTAAACGTTCTTATCTTTAATCAAAGCGAACCGTCTCTTATCAATTGGATTAATATCAACTGAAAATATCTTAGGTGCAAGTTGTCATTTCACAATTAATCATTTCACAGTTAATAAGAAACTGTGGCACAATAATATCTCATAAAATAAAAAATACATTCATTAAATTTTAATATCGTTACGTTTGTAAAAAAAAATCACGAAAGATGGTTTTGCGTCATCACGTAGAAGGATACGAGAATTTTTTCAAATTTATGAAAAACTTCAAATCTAATGAATCAGTTTACGTACTTTACAGCGGTAAAAAACTTCCTAATGGCAAAAGTTGGTGTCCAGACTGTGTTGAAGGTAAAATTATTCGATCGTAGTCATTTATTTCATACATAACCTCAATTTTTTTCATAAAAATCACTTAGAATGAATTATATACATATTTTAATATAACTATATGATAAATTAAAATATTTTTTCAAGATAGTTTATAAAAATATTTTTTTATCAATAAATTAATCATATTTATGAGTATAGAAAAACTTTTGTTTTTCTTGCAGCGGAACCTTTCATAGAAGAAGGATTTAAGACAATTTCAGAATCAGCACACCTAGTTGAAGTTGAAGTTGGAGATCGACCATTGTAAGTGTTTTAATAGAATAATGTATATTTATATGTTATGTCAGTATTCTTTGTCAAAAAATTTAATTTTTGAAATCTTTATCTTTTAGTTGGAAGGACTTGAATTGTCCATTTCGGACAAATTCTATAACAAAGTTAAGAGTTCTACCAACTTTAGCAAAATGGAATACACAAAAACGTTTGGAAGGTGATCAATGTCAAAAGATTGACTTAATTGAAATGTTACTTACTGATGAAGATAATTAAGTAATTTAATTTCATATGTTGTATCAAAATGAACATTTTTATTAGTTAGTAAACAATAAATTTTATAAATTGTTTTTATATTCAAAATTTTATACTTAACTTTATTTTTTACAAGTCTGAAAGATATAAAATTACTGTATAATTTTATTGGTACACGTTATAATCAAATTCTTTTATACCAATTCCTATCTTTTCTTTTCTTACAAATCACTTTATTAGATATATAATTCTCATAAATGTATATATATTATAAATATCTATAATAATGCTATTATAACACAAGAACTATATTTTATAACATAAAACTATAATATAGATAAATTTTTACATATAAACTAAATAATTTATTGTCATAAAATTTATAAAAATTGTATGAAATAATTTCTCTTTCTACAATTATACAATTAAGAAAGGAAAAAATTAAGTAAAAGCATCATTTTCTTGAAATACTCTATGGAATGTATTGTTTCTATAATATTAGTCATATATTTTCAATGAGAATTCAGATGCGAGGGTAGTAAGGTAACAAAAGGCGAAGAGATGACAACGGTAAGCGGAAAGTAGTTAAGTAATGTGAATAAAAGAAGATTGTATGCAGACCGACTCTCTTTGTGCCCTTTTAATGATTGGGAAGGTAGGTCCTTTTCGACCAAGATATGTCATTGAGCAAAGGTCAGTCCCATAAAGTAATATTTGCAATTACTTTATGGACCTAACAGTACTGTTCAGATATGCATCTCTCACATTACGTTTATATGTTTATTGCCGTTGGCTGTAGAGCCAAGGCTAGAGGAAAGCGTCCTCTACACAATGTATATTATTTATGAAGTTGCTGGCGTTAATTCTTGCGATTCTGATGGTGGTATAATTCTCACAGAATAATGAATTTTCTTATTTCTCATTATGCTATAACTGTTATCAAAGACAACAGAATCTACAAATAAAATAAAATAAAATGGCTGATAAGATATCTGATATTTTCGCGAAATGATTTTTTACGCGATATCTACTTACATGTAGAAGGTACTTCACAAGTCAAAATTCCAATCTCGTCTAATTGATGAGCAGCCACTCGTCGTATGGGTATTACTTCCTTCTGTCTTCCATTATTATCCTTCTTTACGATACCAAATTTAATGTCATGATTCTCGGTTCGAAATTCCCAACTACAATCATACAATGAATCAAGCAACAAATATAAAATTATCATATCGTAATTAGTTTATAAATTTCTTCATACCTCAGTAGAGATCCCAACTCATGTGCTGACATATCAAGCTCCAGTTTTCCACCTTTCTTAATCGTAACTGTCGTGAAGGTCTGTTTATCTTTTTCTATGTTTGTTACATACATTTCTTTAGGAACTTTGCCACCAAGACAAATCTGAATATACAGAAAAACTTTTATCAAAAATTTTATTTTATATATATATTGGTTTATATTATAATTATTGGATAGAAGATTGTTCAAATTCTGGAGACAAAGTAAATTTTATTTTTTTAGTTTTTTCTTATTTTACCTTGGTACCAAGTTTTGGATTGCCATCAGGGTCTTTAAGGGTACCTCCAAAAAAAGCAGGCACTTGGTCTCTATCAATATTACTAAATATTGCTGCCTGCCATTTCGCAGGATCTGCTTTGTATATTTGAATTTTTGACAAAGTATACTCATTCATAAACTTCTTTGCTACCGAAAATGCAAAAGCAAATACTTTTGGAGCTATAAAAGAATACCATTACATATATAATACATCAATCATTTTATCATATAATTATTAATTATTATAAAAAGTATACCATTAATTATGTAACAGTTCTTTAAAATCTCTGGATAATTAGCTTCGTACATTTGGATTAAAGTAATAACGACTTCTCCAGCTGAAAAATAGAATTATGAATTAGCATTTACCACAATTAAGCTAATTTACTCATGATTAAAAGTTAAAAAGTTTTATACAATTATATTTGAAAAATTTATACGAAGGTATAATATACGAAAATACCTTCATTTTGATAAACTTTTACATCGCTAATCAATCGTTTCTAACAGATTCACTGAATAGAAAATTCAACTTATATAAGTACCTGATTGATTAACATTTTCGAAAAAATTCTACAGAATTACTTTTTTAATGATACCTTGAAGGCTCGGGTGAAATACAACTTTTAAGGGGTTACGTAATCACGGTCGATTACAAAATCGACGTAAATTTTACCTGGTCTCCAGAGATACTGTCGCAAGTTGAAACCTTGCATATCGAAAATTACGACAACCTGACCAGCCGCAGGACCATGTTTTAACATTTGTTCTCGACAAAGATTTAAATATTCTTCGAGACGTTTTATAGTCACTCTTATCATTTCCCTTCTCGAAACAACATGCAAAATACCATAAATGTCCAGTGCATCGAAATACACAACAACCACTGTAAACATTATTAATTTCTATTAAATTCTTATTCTTCAATTGTTGTTACGATGATCAGACTTTTTATCACATTTATTTCAGATATTTTATTTATAAGGTTTAACTTCAATGTTTTAAAATCTCTAAATTTATCCTGTATTTTATCCTAGAAATATCATAGTTATGACTTATAAATCGCTTTTTACCTGGGGCACCATTCTTGTCGAAACCACATAGACCGTGAGGTAGATAATCATTCAAAATTTGAGGAGGATCCCATTCGCTTAATTTATCAACTTCCCATTGTTTCCGCCACTCCATAGACTAAAAATTCATAAGTTAGAAGTAGATTTTCTGGATGTAACAACAATAAATGGGATACAAAAAGTAGATAAAAAATATAAATATATTCATATCTTTTAAATTTAATATCTTGGAAACAATCAAGTAAAACTATAAACAAATGATATGATAAGAAATATAAACATTTATATAAGATTATATAAATGCTTATATTTCTTATCAGTACACGATACTATAATCTAATACAAATATTATAATCTAATACAAATATTATAACAAACCACATAACTACAGATATGTAAATCTAAATGTAAATTCACAGATTAGATAAATAATATAATTTAAACAAATTTAATACTTAAAATTATTTACCTTGAAAATAGAATGACAACGAACTGCAACGACAATTATCAAAATGATAGAGAAAATTTTATAGAAAATTAATTAAGCATAAGATATGCATCCTCTACAATTCAAAGAAAATTCCTGTTTTTAAAGAAGCCTGTTTAATAACTGAGAATTATTTGAATAATTAAAATACGAAATTTAATTTCTAGTTTATCCCAAGGGGAAAAACGAAACACAGTTGTAACCAACATATTGCAATATCCGTTCGAAAAAAAGAAAGTACACATTTAAATGTGAAGAAAGTACGCGATTTAAATTTTATATCCTAAAACATTTCGTCTCTTTGAACATTGTTAATTATTATAAAAATTAATAATAACACGATGCAGATAGCAATAATACAGCATCAAATTACATATGAAAAATTCGTCATTTTACATGTCGTTAATGCAGATATAAAATAAAAAATTTGCCTGCCACCATTTAGTATTAATAAAATTAAACTTTAATTTGCTTCTTTCGTCAATTTATTTATTATACTAATTTTGTAACTTTCATTTAATTTAATAAATAATTATAAAAAAAAGAAAAATCTATGGAAAAGTAGGTTCAAGTATGAAATATTAAACCTGTTTGCATTGCAAACAGTTATTCTGCTCTCTCTTTGCCCATCAACTTAAAGCGCGAGTTGTTAAAAGTTAGTTAACCAGGCAGCTGATTTTTCTCGGTTTCGTGAACAAGTATTCTTTTCACATACACAAGCACACGAATCGTCTTTCTTTTCTAAATACTTCTATAAATTCAGTTCGGAGGAAAAAAAAGTTACTGCAAGATACTTCCAAACACAAACGAACGAATATGAAATTAACTTTAATTTATAAGTCTCTATTCTTACACGCAGTATTAATATTTTGAAACAAAATTCTTTGCTATTCTATAATCTCACAGCATATAAAACACGAAAATTCCACAATAACATAAAAAATAAATTGATACAAATAAATTTACGTTCCTCTTCAAAGATAACATAGCTCGTGCACGTAGCTCATTCGTTAACTAAACCAATTAGAATAATTAATTAATGGCGAATGCAGCGAAAAGAATTCGGAAGTAGATACATATACTATGTTATGAAGTACCTGAAGCGATGAAAAATGCATAATGTGTGTGTGTGTGTGTGTGTGTGTGTGTGTGTGTTTTCTTCCATTGGTCATTAGACCATAGAAAGAGTGTTCGTATCCCTGGTTAATGCTTCGTAGATCGTTCGCGCGCCAGCAAAAATTCAAAGGATCGTAGAACACGTTTCTTCAAACTTTCACGGTTAAATTCGTGACTGTCGGTGGCTGTAGGCTGCAGATCATCGAACAAAAAGTGGATGACTGATCGACATAATAGTCTAGATGCTAGGAAGAACGTACAAGTTATTGCAATTATGCCCAAAGGCGCAGATTTCTCGATAACACTATAATCGAGGAGAGCGTTACGAGTTTGAAAGTATTCTTAATATGACAAAAAGACGTAGACACACCTGAAGATTTTATACCTTTCTCCGTTCACTTTTGTTAATTTGGATTTGTATGTAGTTCGTACAATTCTCCCATGTCTCGAATCGATACTGATTTATATGTAACAAGTTGCTTTCAATAATAATTTGCACGTATTCTTTTATTCTTGTAACTAATAACAAGTATTTTGTCTCATTTGGATTATTTGTAATTTGAATGTAAATCTTCATAATCAAAAACAACGTATCTACTTTCGATTGATATTCCAATTTCCAAATCTACCAAAATAACAAGTATATTTCTTTGTATAATTTAAGATAAGACAGCAGAACTGATAAATTCGTTGGAATCTAACGTCATAGTCGTTCGATCATTTTCCACTGCATCTTTCAAAGTAAATGGCGACTTACTCTTACATCGTAAGATCATAATACCGTTAAATAATCAAAATGAACTTGGTCGTGAACATGTTCTGCTCTTCAAAATTTTCCTCATGTAGAAGTTTTTTGTAATTTTTCTTGAATCGGTAGAAAAATCTATAGAAATATTTATTCTAACATAAGTCAATGTCGATTGACAATATGTGTTACATTTTGCTGAAAGAAGAGAAGATAACAATGGATCCTAAAAGAAAATAGAAAAAAATTAAGAAATTTTGAAATTAATTAAACAAGACATATATAGATTTGGTCAGTTGATTAAGCATGGTCGGTGATTAAAGTTAGTTACGTGATTAATCATATTACACCGTTCATTTCGTACGTAAATTGTATATTGAGATAGGATGCGCATGAAATATGTGAAAGTACAGCGTAAGTTCAAACGAAGTTGTCCCCCTTTCAAAAGGATTTTTTCCGAAGCGAAGGAGTTTATTTATTATTCGGTTTCTATGAAACTGAATAATTTTAACTCTAAAAAAGGGAAAGAAAAAAAAAAAAAACGAATGAATGAATAAATCAGTAATTATGAGGAAAAACATACTTACATCACGTAACATCTTCTCCGCAGCATTTGGATCCCATTTTCTTGCTAAAAATCATATATATATATATATATATATATA